TCTGAATCTTAGCAGCCATTAATCGTTCATGACTCATCACGAAGTACGAACAACTAGTTACGAGTTGGTAGTGATCACGACATGCAAGCTACTATCCAAGTCCTTTTTTTCAAATCACTGTAGCCACCAGTTTTTTAGAAGTTACTTACGCTCATGTTTCTACTACTATGGCTGCTCTTAGCTACTATCCATCTCTTTGTTTAGACTACCATAGCCACTAGTTGTAAGACTACTATGCGTCTACTATGGCTTGGGATGTTCCGCCTTATTCAAACAGTCCTGAATAGGACTCATAGTATTCCCCCATATCGCAATCCCTATAAAGGACTGTTAGTAGAAGGGGGAACGTGCCAACACATGGCTGTTCTTCGGGCAGAGCCGCCACTCTGAGGGTAGCTTCATGCCTTAACGTGATCCCTAGCCTCCTTGTGAGGGTTCTCATGTAGGGGCGCTTAGGTTGAAAAGGGTATATAAGGGTTATATACGGGGCCCTTTTACGAGCCCATAAACTACCCTAAGGGTCCATGTACCTAATAATACTTAACTTGGGCCCAAAAGTCCCTGTATAAGAAGTACTCTAAGGCCCAAGCCTTCCCTATTTAAGTACATGGACCCTTAGGGCTACCCTAACAGCCACTGGTGAGAAGAGGCCAGCGCTTTGGGCGAGTTGCCGAAAGTCCATGACGCGCAGCTGGCAGGCGTGGGCAACATCTGCGAGTGTCTGGGCTTAGACCAGAGCTGGCGCTTTAGGGTTTAGGGTTTAGGGTTTAGGGTTTAGGGTTTAGGATTTAGGGTTTAGGGTTTAGGGTTTGGGGTGTAGGGTTTAGGGTTTGTTGGGGTCTCGGGCTTCGACTCCCGCACGCTCCCACACCCCCAGACTTTGAGAAGTACCACGGCCCCAGCAACTGTGGCTGTGACCGCGGGGCTCGGAGAAGGATGGAAGAGGTTCTTGGGGCTCGCGAATCGTGGCTTAGGGCATTATGATTTGGGGCGGGGAGACTGAGGTGACGTGTGGCGAAGTGTGGTCAGGGGTAGTAGGATAGTTGATATGAACAGTAGACGCAAGAATCCTAAGCTCAGGCTGGTCGTGGTCGACAATGCGGCGGTGCTGCATAGCGTGCGCACCAGATACAAGCGGTCGGACATCTACACATTCGCGACAGCCTCGGTTGAGCTCTGGTGCATAGTGACACATCAGTCGGATCCAATCTTCGTGCGCTTCTGTGAATGCAGGGGGTTGAAGCCTAAACCCCTAAACCTTAAACCCTAAACTCTAAACCTTAATGAAACCCTAAACCCTAAACCCTAAACCCTAAACCCTAAACCCTAAACCCTAAACCCTAAACCCTAAACCCTAAACCCCAAACCCTAAACCCTAAACCCTAAACCCTAAACCCTAAACCCTAAACCCTAAACCTAAACCCTAACCCTAAACCCTAAAACCCTAAACCCTAAACCCCAAACCCAAAACCCTAAACCCAAGAGAGGTCTCGAGGATGCTGATCGCCGTGAACCCCTTCAAGGAGCTCCCCATCTACTCCAAGGCGGCTGCTTCTTCTTGTGAGCCTTCTGAGGTTTAGGGTTTAGGGTTCAGGGTTCAGGGTTTAGGAGCTTATCGCTATCAGGACCTGCTTAGGAGGAACCCGCCCGGGTTTAGGGTCTAGGGTTTAGGGTTTAGGGTCCAGGGTTTAGGGTTTGTATGCACCCCCTTAAAGGGCAACTGCAACTAAGTATCTTTTTTTTTGGCGGGGGAGGGGGGGGGGGGTCCTTATAAAAGCTAGTCCTAGTTAAGAGTCGAGTTGATATTTCAGGGGTCTTCTGGCTCAGTTCTGTTATTTTGAAGGGAGTTGGGAGGGGTGGGGAGAGTCGAGGGTTGAGGTGTTGCGGGGTCTATGCTTCAGGGTTTAGGGGCTGTTTGGTTTAGGGTTTATATACTCTTTGGACTCAAGGCACCTAAACCCTAAACCCTGAACCCTAAACCCTGAACCCTGAACCCTAAACCCTAAACCCTAAACCCTAAACCCTCAACCCTGCTCAGCTAGGACAACCTCCTCCGGTACCTCCCGGGCGCCAACGACATCATGGCCACATGGCGAAACATCCGTCCGTTGCCTTGCGGACACCATGAACCCTAAAATCGGTGCCATATACCGTATACTACCATAATCGTTTAGGGTTCAGGATTTAGGGTTTAGGGTTTAGGGTTTAGGGTTTAGGAACCAGAAACCCTTTTAAGGTTCATGTGGTCCCGAAGGTGGGCCTCAGCAAGACGAGGGCCGCTTTCAAAGGCAATTTGAAGGTTTAGGGTTTTAGGGTTTTAGGGTTTTAGGGTTTTAGGGTCTCAGGGTTTTAGGGTTTTAGGGTTTTAGGGTTTTAGGGTTTTAGGGTCTTGGGGTCTTGGGGTTTTAGGGTTTTAGGGTTTCAGGGCTGTGGTTTGGAGGGATGCTGCGTTCCCTGGCCGTTTTCTGCAGGGAGAATGCAGATTCTGACCCCGATCGCGCCCTGCCTACGCATGCATGGTGGACCACATACGGCCAGCGAGTACCCTACATATAAAGGCCCGAACCCTAAACCATCAACCCTCATCGGGCATCCCCCCAGAAGGGCACCCCGGACACCCCCAAAACGATAGGTAGCCCTTAAGCCTCAACACCCTAATACCCCAAGGCTTAATCCCTGAACGCTAAACCTTAAACCCTTACACACTTATCCAAAAACCCCACAAACCTAAAACCCTAGACACCTATCGCCCATTTTTCGCAACCTCCTATGTCAGGATTTGCCTCCTCACGTGTACGGCCTGGGCCTGCACGCTGTCAAGGCCACACCGGGGCCCGTGTGAGCGGCGCTCGCGCAACGCTTGGGTTGTTTTTGGGGATTAGGGCTGAGGGTTTCGGAGGGTTGAGGGTTTCGGAGGGTTGAGGGTTTCGGAGGGTTGAGGGTTTCGGAGGGTTGCGGGTTTCGGAGGGTTGAGGGTTTCGGAGAGTTTAGGTTGAGGCTACTTGGTAGATGGCCTACACAGCTCAGAGCCTCAGGCCCCAAGCCGCAAGGCCACGCAGGCATGCGCCCAAATCCCGCCTGCGACTCTATCTACTAAGGGTTTAGGGTTTAGGGTTTAGGGTTTAGGGTTTAGGGTTTAGGGTTTAGGGTTTAGGTTTAGGTTTAGGGTTTGGGGTTTAGGGTTTAGGGCTGTCTCCTCGTCACCGCCTGCCTAAACCCTAAACCCTAAACCCTAAACCCTAAACCCTAAACCCTAAACCCTAAACCCTACACCCTAAACCCTAAACCCTAAACCCTAAACCCTAAACCCTAAACCCTAAACCCTAAACCCTAAACCCGAGCCCCTTGGACCTGGCAGCCTCAACACCCTCAAAACCCCTCCGCGCCCTGCAGGGCCAGAAGCGCGGCAAGAGCCAGGCGGGCACTGGGTTTAGGGTTTAGGGTTTAGGGTTTAGGGTTTAGGGTTTAGGGTTTAGGGTTTAGGGTTTAGGGTTTAGGGTTTAGGGTTTAGGGTTTAGGGTTTAGGGGGTTTGGGGGGTTAGGGTTTACAGGGTTTAGGGTTTAGTGTTTAGTGTTTAGGGTTTAGGGTTTAGGGGGTTTAGGGGGTTGAGGGGGGTAGGGTTTACAGGGTTTAGGGTTTATGGGGTCTAGGGTTTAGGGGTTGGGTTGTAGGGTTTAGGGTTTACAGGGTGGGGTTGGGACAATGTTTCAGCGGGTTGGCACTGCCAACCCAATCCTCCCCAAACCCTCGGACCCTCAGTGCTGCCCAAGAAGCCCTAAACCCTAAACCCTAAACCCTCTACCCTCTACCCTCTAAACCCTAAACCCCTTTCGTTTTCCCTAGGTTACCGGTGACCCGCGAAAGCCTAAACCACAAAACCCTGACTCCCCGGACCCCAAAACCTTTTCAAGCCCCACAAAGCCCTCAGCCACAAACCCGAAAGCCCTAACACCCTAGACCCCAACTCCCTAAACCCGGACACCCTTCCACCCTAGCACCCCTATATGGCTAAACCCCAAACCCCAAAGCCTAAACCCCAAACCCCAAACCCCAAACTCAGCACCCCAGCACCCCATGAGGTGGTCCTCATCAGTGGGGAATCCGGAGCCGGAAAGACGGAGTCGGCCAAGCTCGTGATGTCCTACATCTCGGAGGCCTCCTCCTTCGCCCGCTCTCCCTTTCACAGGGTTTAGGCTTTAGGGTTTGGGGTTTAGGGTTTGGGGTTTGGGGTTTAGGGTTTCAGGGTTTCAGGGTTTCAGGGTTTAGGGTTTAGGGTTTAGGGTTTAGGGTTTAGGCTTATGTGGCCGATACACCCTGACTATTTTCAGGGTTGGGGTTTTGTTCGTTACCCTACAGGCCCAAACCCCGAAACCCCAAACTCTAAAATCATCCTACAGCTCTAAACCCTTAAACCCCAAACTCTAAACCCTCAACCGCCCTAACCGCCCCAAAACCATCCCAAAAACCCTGACGCCTCGCCAGGCCCTCGGCAGCTCTCGACACATGCAGCGTCGGGACCTCCATCGGGTCTTGGGGCTTAGGGTTTAGGGTTGAGGGTTTAGGGTTTAGGGCTTAGAGTTTCTAGTCTTCTTAGGAATGATGTTATATTTCTTTAAGACCCAACGGACAAAAACAACGATCGTCTTGTGTACGGCTTAAAGGGCGCCTCATAGGTTAAGATCCTTGAAGCCTCCGTGGCTCTTGCGACTGTGTTCGTCTCTTCTACCTCGAGCGATTGACGCCCTTAACCCTAAACCTGAACCCTAAACCCTAAACCCTAAACCCTAAACCCTAAACCCTAAACCCTAAACCCTAAGCCCTAAGCCCTAAGCCCTAAGCCCTTAACCCTAAACCCTAAACCCTAAACCCTAAGCCCTAAACCCCAAACCCTAAACCCTAAACCTCACAGGGAAAACCAAGCGCAGGAAAGCAGGCCGCGCTACTCCATAGCGCCAGAGCCAGGCGCGCATGGTTCAGCAGGCCTTTCAGGTTTCCCGAAACCCGAAACCCGAACCCGGAACCCGGAACCCGGAACCCGGAACCCTGAACCCTGAACCCTGAACCCTAAACCCTAAACCCTAAACCCTAGCCCTAAACCCTAAACCCTAAACCCTAAACCCTAGCCCTAAACCCTAAACCCTACGCCCTCCGCTTCGTTAAGGGACCTCCAACACCAGCGACACCCAAAGAACCGTCGACTCAAGGGCCCCCCTTGGGTCGAAGCCCTCGGGCCCTTGGGCCCTTTTAGGGTTTAGGGTTTAGGGTTTAGGGTTTAGGGTTTAGGGATTAGGGTTTAGAGAAGAGGGCTTTTTGGTACCATAAAGGGGTCGTAGGGGCTATTTAGGGGTTCATGAGATATATGTTCGATTAAAGTGAAGGGGCAGTAAGGGGCACGTGAACTAGGGGTGCGAAAATCGAACGAAACATGCGGGAATAAACCCAATTGTCAGGGAACGCTCTGAGTTATCCAGGAATATGCTGGATTTTTTTGTGACTATTTTCCGGCAATAAGCTGGATGGTTAGGGAATACTTGAATATCTCCCCTCCCTTCCCCCACCCCAAGAAACACATGGTTTTTTATATACTAGGGGACGATGCCCGGCATCTGTAGTACATGGTAGAGGGATGAACCTCCTACCTTGAAACCCTAACCTTACACCCTAAACCCTAAACCCTAAACCCCAAACCCTAATCCCTAAACCCTAAACCCTAAACCCTAAACCCTAAACCCTAAACTCAAGCCTTTAGCCCCAGAAACCCCTCCGCCGCCAGGGACCGACGGGCTGGCCAAGCGTCGTCAGAGCCGCTCCTGGGCGCAGGTTTGCAGCTTTTGTTGTTTTTGTTGGTTTGGGGCTTATAGGGTTTAGGGTTTAGGGTTTAGGGTTTAGGGTTTAGGGTTTAGGGTTTAGGGCTTCGGGTTTAGGTTTTAGGGTTCAGGGTTCAGGGTTTGGGGTCCTTGGTGATAAGGTTCTCTATGAAGATGAGGGGACCCCAGTATAGAACACCACCCCTCCCCCCACATGGGGCCTGGCATGTGCAAGTAGAACCAGAGGCAGTGATGAAGCAGGACGTGTATGCTTGTTTGCACCCTAAACCCTAAACCCTAAGCCCTAAACCCTAAACCCTAAACCGAAACAGACTTCAACACCTGGTCCCTAAACTCATCGACTCTCAGTGGCAATTAAGACCCTTTGAAACAAATTCCTACATGGTCCTCCTAAAGCCAATCGAAGATAATACAGAAGGGCTTTTGGTTCAAGCTTCCCTTGTAAAGTAACCAACCCAAACTAGGGTCTAGGGTTTAGGGTTTAGGGTTTAGGGTTTAGGGTTTAGGGTTTAGAGTGTAGGGTAATATGGTTACTGGGCTACCAAGCCCTACATCTACACAACTCCGGCCGGCTCGAGCAACGCTCAGGCTACTCCGTCGTTGACCCGAAGATGCCCAGCATCCAGGCCACGCGTTGGCGCCTTCATGTTAGAGTTTACGGAGTTTGTCTCGTGGTTTAGGGATTTAGGGTTGTTTAGGGTACATTAACATGAATTATGGGGCTTACGATTTTTTTGGGGTTTAGGGATTTAGGGGTGTTGGGGTGTGCGTTCAGGGTTGAAGGGTTTGGGGTTTTGAGGGTTGCAGCAAGAACGGCGCATCGGCGAAACAGCGCGCTGGTAACTGTATGGCTGGAAGAGGCCGTCTTCCCGACGCAAGAGCTGTTGGGTTTTATTGTGAAAAAGTTCAAATAGGGTTTACCAAAATACGGGGCCCCTAATATAGACCCCAAATAGTAGGATGCCCTTATCATAAGGACCCCAATACGGTACCCCTAAACCCTAAACCCTAAACCCTAAACCCTAAACCCTAAACCCTAAACCCTAAACCCTAAACCCTAAACCCTAAACCCTAAACCTAGTATCGTAAACCCCCAAGTTCCATCACAGCAACCCAGCAACCCGGTGAGCCTGTCAGATCCTCAAAACTGAAGGCTACCGATGTTACTACAACCCCATATTGCAGGGTTTAGGGTTTTTAGGGTTTAGGGTTTAGGGTTCAGGGTTTAGGGTTTAGGGTTTAGGGTTTTATAACGCCAGGGAGGAGTGCCCATGTGCTTCTACGCACCGCAGAAATCCCTACACCGGCCTGTTCAGGATCATGGATCATAGAGCTTCCGGGCTTCACCTAGTCCACAGAGCTTGCACAAAGCTCAAGGGTGGTCCAAGAATTGGGGAACCCTTATATATGCCCCTTAGATACCCTATAACACCCAAAGGGCCCATACTGCAGAACCCTGCAGAAGAAGGTAAGCGACCATAATAAGGGACCCCCTAAACCCTAACCCCCCCCAAACCCTAAACCCTCAAACCCCAAACCCTAAACCGTAAACCGTAAACTCCTAAACTCCAAACCCTAAACCCTGAACCCCCAAACCCTAAACCCTAAACCCCCGTGTTGCAGGACAAGATTATCCAGACCAATCCCATCCTCGAGGCCTTCGGCAACGCAATGACGGCCCGGCGCTTGGGAGCTCGAATTTTCTGCTGGGATGTTGAGCTGCAGTTTATTCAACCCCTAAACACCAAACCCTGAACCCAGAACCCTACACACTTCACCCTAAACCCTAAACCCTAGCCCTAAACCCTAAACCAATCTGAGTGCGAGATTCGTGTGGTGGGTCTTGGGATGAGTTTCGTGTGCAGCTTAGACGTCGCAGTTGTACAACCTCATTGGCCAGTCATTGCGGCTTCCGCTTGGTCATCAGGGGATCCTAAAGCTGTAAGGTTGCAGTGCCCATCTACTCTCTAAGGGAAGTTGCATGGTCCCTTAAGAAGTATAGTCCCTTCTTGGGAAGGCCCAGACCATGTAGCTACCCTAAGATACTCTTAGGCTTGAGGACTTGAAGTTCAGGGCTTGGACGCCTTGAACACAGGAAGTGGGACGATGCTGCGGGGAGGAGAATCTGTATCCGCAAACCCTAAACCCTGAACCCTAAACCCTAAACCCTAATCCCTGGACCCTAAACCGTAAACCCTAAACCCTAAACCCTAAACCCTAAACCCTAAACCCTAAACCCTAAACCCTAAACCCTAAACCCTAAACCCTAAACCCTAAACCCGCTTTGCCTCGTGCAGGGTTGCTTCGACCTGCCAAGGTCCGGAACAACAACTCCTCGCGCTTCGGCAAGTGGACGCTTGTCTCATCGTGCTTGCGGGTGTTTCTCAAACACACGCACATCCCGAGATTGCCCTTATATGGACTATTTGCATTTTTTTGAGGGGGTGGGTTCTTAAGAAATCCTAAAACCCTAAACCCTAATTTTTTTGGGGGGGGTTCTTAAGAAAATTAGTAGATCACCAGTGCATCGGCCAGCGCGCAGACCCCGAAGGACGCAGATGATGATCTCGCCCAACATGTCGATCCAGGGCTGCGCCTCTCCTGCAGGTTTAGGGTTTAGGGTTTAGGGTTCAGGGTTCAGGGTTCAGGGTTCAGGGTTCAGGGTTTAGGGTTTAGGGTTTAGGGTTTAGGGTTTAGGGTTTAGGGTTTAGGGCTTCGGGGCAGTGGCCACGCGTTGAAGCCGCCAAAGCCTGAGCCCAAATTCTCGGGTGCCGGCGGCCACCTGAAGCCCTTAACAAGCGACCCTAAACCCTAAACCCTAAACCCTAAACCCTAAACCCTGAAGCCCTGAATCTCCCCCCAAAGATCCCGCAACCCTGAACCCTCAACCCTCCAAACTCTCGGGTTGCAAATGTGGCTTAACCCGCCCCAAACTCCTAAACTGAAACCCTAAACCCTAAACCCTAAACCCTACACCCTAAACCCTAAACAGGCTCTGTGACCGACTACCTCCTAGAGGTGACCCGTGTCTGCAGTCGCGGCGAGAAGGAGCCCTGGCTCCCTGGTTTAGGGTTTAGGGTTTAGGGTTTAGGGCCCGCAAAACCCTTCCCCCGAAAAAAACCCTTCCCCCCCCGAAAAGCCCCTTCCCCCGAAAACCCCTTCCCCCGAAAATCCCTTTCCCCCGAAAAAACCTTCCCCGGAAAACCCCTTCCGCCGATAAACCCTTCCCCGAAAGACCCTTCCCACGCAAAACCCTTCCCCCGAAATTTCTTCTACCGAAAAACCATTCCCCCGAAAACCCCGTTCCCCCGAAGAACCGTTCCCCCGAAAAACCCTTCCCCCGAAAACCCTTCGCCCGAAAACCCTTCCCCCGAAAAACGCTTCCCCCGAAAAACGCTTCCCCCGAAAAACCCTTCTCCCGAAAAGCCCTTCCCCCGAAAACCCCTTCCCCCGAAAACCCCTTCCCCCGAAAATCGCTTCCCCCGAAAATCGCTTCCCCGGAAAAACGAACCCCAGAAACCCTCACATTCCTTCAAAGCCCAGAAACCCTCCAACTCCCCAAAACCTTAACTCCCTGGGGGGGGGGGGGTTGGGGAGGGTTTAGGGTTTAGGGCTAGGGTCCAGGGCTTAGGGGCTCGCGCCAGGAGAGAAACTACCACATCTTCTTCCAGTTGCTGCAAGCACGCGGCGAGGAGGAGCTCAAATGCCTGGACATACAGCCGCCCGAGGCCGGGCTCGGGTGTGGTCCCACCCTTAGAGCTGAAACTTGGGATGTTCCCCCTTTTTTTAAGCAGTCCCATATGGGGATTCTAATAGGGGTACTATAATCCCTATTCAGGACTGTGTAGTATAAGCGGGAACATCCCAAGCTGAGACCCTGAGCCCCCCGGTAGGCCATTGGGACTTTTACATTTCCTCTTATTGGGTTTAGGAGGATCATATTCAGGACCTAAACCCAAAACCCTAAACCCTAAACCCTAAACCGGGTTCTTAAGGACCTAAACCTAGAGCCGCAGGCCTACAGCTACCTCCGCGGCTCGCAGTTCGTCGCTCCGGGCATCGACGACGCGCGGTGCTTCACGGAGGTGAAAGAGGCACCGGTGAGGGCTTAGGGGGTTTTAGGGTTTAGGGTTTGGGTTTAGGGTTTAGGGGGCTTTAGGGGGCTTTAGGG